TCAGTTTCATTTATTAGGTATATAACAATGTGAGCCATGCGGCTCCTGACTCGGATGCAACCGCAACAAACAAAAACATGAACAAGAAACATCTTAAAGTAACTACACGCAACAGAAAAATCCAGGAAAAAACAGCAAAGTCTTCCAGAAAAAACACCGTATTCCAACGCTGTGTGCAAAAATCCCATTGGGATGCAAGTCAAACAATAACAACCATAAGACAATTTAGATTAAAGTTATCAGGCTAACTCTGTACTACAACAAACAAACATGGCTAAACCAAAACGTTTTCAAAATCACCAAAATAAAGCTATAAAAACAATGTAACAGTGATCGACAGAGGCGAGGCCATAACCGATACAGACAATCGTCACTGGTCTTTGCCGTGACTCCCAGCAATGACTAACATCCGTGGTGAGTGATATCTCAACCGGTTATGGGCACCCCCTCCACCAACACAAACTGACGAGTAAGGTGAAGTATGATCAAACAACCCTCATGCTTGACACGGTGTGAGAAGGCCTTTATTCAGCTAGTCGACTGACATGACAACAAAAGATTTAAGAGCAAGAACAATATACATGGAATAATACAGTAAACATACTCTTTGGTTCTTTCGGTAAAGTCACGTAGGTAGACAAAATAATAGATCACGACGTTTCAATCGCAACGCAAGCGACCGAAGACGGTCACCCACGTGACTTTACCGAAATAACCAAAGAGTATGGATTCTTGTAGTCACGAAAACTTCGAATCAAGATAGTAAATATACTGTAGTAGAGTACTGGATACCATACAACCACGTAGAGCGACTGATTAATGCAATCAGTTAATGTGCAGGTACTCGATGGACTGATACATTCCAAGATAATGATGCATATGATTGAAGAGTTCTTAATCAGGCAGTGGATAGAGCATGGCTGAGGATTCTAATGACATGTGCAACAAACAATATTGTGTATATGCTACATTATACAGGACATTAATGCAATTCCAAACATTTAGCTGCTCGATCTCAGGACAAAATATGTCTAACCAAGGCAAACACTGGGCATGCAGTCGTGTGCTATGTGGCTTGCCCATCATAATGAGGGCCCTTTATAAACACTGTGCCGGGTTCACGCGAGTTCGGGAACTGCTGAAAGAACATTATGTCATACGTTAACACACGACGATAAATCTGTGGGGCACTGGAGCAGTAATTGAGACGCACCGTTAGGAGCCAATGTAGTTGAAGTGCACTGCTGTGGTGTTGAGTGCTTTAGGGCAGTGGAGTCAGGGCCGGATTAAATTTGGAGGTCCGAGGCTGTTGTAGTTTTGGGGGGCCCTCTGTACTCGTATATTAAATTAATTCCCCCTCCTGGTTTATAACCACCCCTGCTTGATGCAAAACACAGCATCATGCCTGTCAACCCATGCAGTTTGCCCGTATTCTTGTATAGGGAAATGTAGTTTTCAGGTCCAGCCATTTCAATACGGGCAAAAATACATTGTGTATAAAGAATTGTGATGGGACTTTGTAGGATGAACGTTGAGATTTATAAGGGCACGGGGTGATCAATAAGGTCTGAATTGGTATCTAATAATATAGGCACTGATAAGGGGTTGACAGGTATGCAGCATTATGAAGCAGTATACAATTGGTATGCAGTATTTATATTCGGGTGGCTGTCAAATAGCCACAGTGGATTTGACGAACGGAAGGAAATGGACATGTACATGGGCTTAGTTGTGCGGGAGGCATCATAGGAAGGGATGATGGCCGACTTTTTGAGAATAACAACTGAGAGGCAGCCAAAGGAGGGAATTTGTCCAAGAGGACGCCAACCACGAGGATGGGGCGATGAAGAGATTGGTTGGTGAGTAGGAGCTAGATGGTTTGCTCGATGGCGGGACCGTGCGGGGTGTATGTTGAACTTCTTTGACACCGTAGGTAGCCAACCACGCTAATCGGATGGTGATGACTTGGAAGGCCATCATCAAGCAGTGGATAGGTCATGACTGATGACGTACATTTGGCAATATTTTGATCACATGTGTAGTGACATAGCGCTGACTGTTGTACAGCAGCTGCAACTGCAGGTGTGCACTTAGCGCACACGCGCCGTTGAGCATATACACACGGTGTGTGTGCCGGCAGGGCGGAGGAACTTGGGCAAGGGTCACGGTAGACATCGTGGGGAGGCCCCTGGAACCGTCTGGTGGGTTCGGTTGGCTGTTCGGTCAACGCCGTCGGTGCAACGCGGGCAGGGTCGTGTCGGGGACGGGTCGTGTGGCAGCGTGGTCGTGAGAGAGAGGGGGCCTGAGTGGTGGCATGAAATCAACAACAAAAGGGGATGGTGCCTTCTGCGACCACCTCGCCTCCGACTGAGTGCGTGTGCGACGCAAGACACCCCCACAAGCGTCGAGCGAGAACGAAGAAGAGACGCACGACACTACACGTGTACAATTTAAACTGTTTTGACACGATGCAAAGTTTCATCTTCTTGGTTCTTTCGGTAAAGTCACGTAGAAGGGAAGTAATAAAATAATAAAAATAAAACAATAAAATTATTCTCACGACGTCGCCTCGACGGACCTGGTTTTCACCTGAGGACGGCTGCTTGCGTTGTGGCCGAAACGTCGTGAGAATAATTTTGTTTTATTTTTATTATTTTATTACTTCCCTTCTACGTGACTTTACCGAAAGAACCAAGAAGATGAATCCCTGCAGTCACGAAAGCTTTAAATCGAAAGATGCAAAGTTTGTAATATGAATGTCAAGGATTATAGTGGAGGGGAAAACGAATGTAGTGTGTAGCTCAAAAGCAGTCTTACATCTTTACTTAAAACCACCAGGTGTGAGCCATAGTGGGATAAGGATTTCAATTTTTAATGGGACACCTGGGGAATTGATGCATCAAAAGTAAATGATCGATATTGCCATTCTCTCTCAGGGGGTGAAAAGGGTGACGCAGTGGTTGGCACACTATGAACCCAGATACCTGAGTTCGATTATCCGGTCACAGCTGACCTCAGTGGCAAGTGACATCCGTGCCAGTCCTGGGCACCTCGCACCGCGACCAGCGCGGGGAAGTATGGTCAAACATCACCCTCCTGACCGACACGGCGTGGGTAGTAAGGCCTTCATCCAGCGGTGGATTTGCCAAAGGCTGGAAATTAAATATTTTTTTTTATTACACGTGTCGACTAAATTAAACGCATTTAATTTGATGAGACCAGGTGGAGTAAGGCCTTCATCTAGCGGTGGATTTGCCAAAGGCTGGAAATTAAATATTTTAAAAAAATTACACGTGTCGACTAAATTGAATGCATTTAATTTGATGAGACCAGGTGTAACGTGTGGCAATTCCATCATGATTTCAAAAAGTTTTTTGGTTTGGCCTTGTTTCTTTGTTGTAGTACGGAGTAAGACTGATGGCCTTAATCTAAGTTGTCTTGTGGTTGTTGTTTGACTTGCATCCCACTGGGATTTTTTGCACACAGCGTTGGTGTACGGTGCTTTTTCTGCAATATTTTGCTGTCTTTCCTTGGATTTTCTGTTTGCACTTAGTCACATATTCACTTTAAGATGTTTTCTTGTTCATTTTTTTGTTTTTTGTTTGTTGCGGTTGCACCCGATTCAAGAGCCGAATGGCTCACAGGGCGATACCTAATACATTAACTTGAAGGGACACGTCCGATGGAAAAGTTTTCAGGTAAATTTGTTTCAAAGTTATAATCTGATTCACGTACAAAGACGTATGAAAGCGCACACCCTTGCTATTATTACCACAGCAACATGACGCATCAAGATTGTGTAAACGCAATGATGTTACGACGACGTCAACTATCGTAAAAGTCGACACGCCATGCGCATCAGTCAACACAGGCGACGACTCGTAAACAGAAAAGTCGCCTTATAACGACACATCGATGTCCAGATTCCTAAGATAGGCTCGCGACAAACACAAAGAAGCGTGCGGCTCGTCGTAGGCGATACGAGACGTCGCCACACGCGTACACAACGCAAAGGCTACAAAAACAACGCAACACACACGCACACAATCGATTCCCCGAATCGATTCCAAAGGACAACTCTATAACGAATCGTGGGAATCGAAAGCAACGCTGCCCCGAGAGTGGGCGGGGCCGTTTGTGGAGGAAATAAATAAATAAAGGTGCCGTCCAATCGCCTGCGAGTTCGTCTGGGTCACGCGATGACTGAGGGGCGGAGGAAGCTGCGGCGGGGGGAAGACGGGGGGAGGGGGAGGGGCCCGGGTGAGGGAGGAGGGGTCGGGTGGGGGGTTGAAGGGAGGGCGGGGAGGGGGCATAGTGGAGAAGGGGAGGGGTTGGGGGATGCCGCGTCACGTGACGGAACGCGCACTCGCTCGCGTGGAGGAGCAAGCCGGGCGTAGCCTGAGGGGCGGGGTTGGGGTGGTGTCATGGCGGGGGGTGGGGCAGTGCGGGGGGGTGGGCAGTGCGAGGGGGGGTGGGGCGGTGCGGGGGGGGGGGCAGCGCGGGGGGGGGGGGCAGCGCGGGGGGGTGGGGCAGCACGGGGGGGGGGGTGTCACGTGACGGGGGCCGGCCCCCACCCGCGCAGTGCGGGGCGCGTGCAGGGTCTGGGACTCTGGGTGCTCGTGTGGGTCTCCGCGTTCGTAACACAACAACAACAACACAAACATCATTCATAGCAACATTCAACATTTTTATTTCACATTTTTTTGTAGGGGGGGGGGGATGGGTGGCTTACACGATTTAGCCAGTTTGCTTTAATGAGGTGGGGGGGGAGGACACACACACCGTGTACAGTTTATTTTTTAATTGTGTCAAGCCATAACAACAACAACAACTGAAACAAGGTGGACTCACAATTAACTTTCTCGGTAGATGACTGCTACCGCCAGGGAGAGAGCGAGAGAGACGGGTTCTCTCCCAGCATTGCCGAGGGGGAGGGAGGGAGGAGGTGGTGGTGGAGGAGGAGGAGGAGGTGGTAGAGGGAGGAGGTAGTGGTGGTGGTGGTGGGGGGTGGGAAGAAGAAGAAGAAAGGGAGGCAGTGCATTGGCACTTTCATTTGTAACAACAGAGGCGGGGAGACGGCGGTGTTGCTGAACGTGGTGCACAGGATCAAGTTTCGCTTTCGCAGGGAAGATCATTCACGCACGGGTTGTGTTTGGAACAACTAAAAGACGTTCAAATGGCAGCGATTACAACCAACACCTCCGACGCCGCTGATATACGTGCAGCAGCAGCAATCCTTATATTTTAATTGTCTTGGGTTGTTATTTTTAAACAAGAGCAAGGTTAGAGGAAGGACTCTGTCTGTAGCAGAGTTCTATCTTTTTTAGCAACGTTGATTACCGGTGGAAGTGCTCGTGTAGTCGTGTACGCATTACACGTTCGTTCAGCAATTGCAACGCCAATAAGGGCACGAGATAGTAGCCGTACACAGTGGACTCGTACATTAGGCACCAACACAATATACTAACATTCAGTAAGGGCTAAGAAGAATAGGGTACAAACACTAGGCACACACACGCAGTACGTACCTACTGTAACATACTGCAACAGGCACACACAAACACACATCAACATACACATCTACCCGGCACAAATATACATTACACACACACAGTAAGCACATTACACACACAGCACAGATATACATTACACACAGTAAGCACAGATACACATTACACACACAGTAATCACAGATATACATCACACACACAGTAAGTACAGATATACATTACACACACACAGTAATATACATTACACATCACACACACAGCACTGATATACATTATACACACACAGTAATATACATTATACACACACAGTAATATACATTATACACACACAGTAAGCACATTACACACACACACTAAGCAAGCAGGCAACAACATAGACATCTCGCCAAGACAACACACACAGTGTGCAGCAGGAATGATGTCCGGGGTGCGGGTCTCCCCCAGCAGCAGCAGCAGTGGGGGCAGCAGCAGCAGTAGTGTGGGGGGCAGCAGCAGCAGTATGGGGGGCAGCAGCAGCAGTATGGGGGGCAGCCCTGGCGAGGAGGCAGAGGCGGCAGCAGCAGGGGCAGCAGTGCGGGGTCCCTCTCGCCGGCCGCCCGAGCTGCTGCTGCTGCCCCCTCCCCGTGCCGCCGCGTGCCGCAGCCTGTTCGGCTCCCCCGAGCGCGGCGAGGTGGAGAAGGAGCTCAAGGAGACCCTCGCCGCCCTGGCAGAGGACCACAGGCGCCGATGGAACTTCGACTTCGAGGCCGAGAGGCCGCTGCGAGGACGATTCGAATGGGAGGCGATGGACGGGGCGAACGTGCCCGGGTGTTACCGGACGAGACCGCTGTCCAACAACAATAACAACAGTAGTAACAACAACAACAGCAACAACAACAACAGCAGCAGCAGCAGAAATCATGGACTGGTTTCGAGCGTCATCCCTGGCCTCCTGACACCGGCATTGGCTGCATCATCTCCACCACGTGGCCGTCCGCAATCACGCGGTGATGATGATGACAGCCAGAGGATCACCGCCACAGCTACTACGACCACCACCATCACTGCCAACAACAGCACTAACAACAACAACAGCAGTAAGAACACTGACAGCAGCAGCAGCAACAGCGATAGAGGAGATGCATTTGGCACGACGAGCGTCCTCCGAGATGAAGACGAACACGGACAACCTGGGCGAGGGGGACCATCATCGGCCGGAGGAGATGGAGCATCACGAGCTGGTGGAGCATCTTCTGGAGAAGATGGAGCATCAGGACCTGGTGGAGCATCTTCTGGAGGTGATGGAGCATCAGGAGCTGGTGGAGGATCTTCTGGAGGTGATGGAGCATCAGGACCTGGTGGAGCATCTTCTGGAGGTGATGGAGCATCAGGAGCTGGTGGAGCATCTTCTGGAGGAGATGGAGCATCAGGAGCTGGTGGAGCATCTTCTGGAGGTGATGGCAATGCCGAGGCTTCGCCCGGAGGAGGTGAAGCTTCGTCGTCGTCGTCATCTGCAGACGTCGAGATGACTCCCCGGGACCGTTCAGCCTCCGCGTGCCACGACCGGACGAGGCAGTCGCCCGAGGCGTGCAGCCTTCACAAGCGGGGCTCGGCCCTCATGGGTAACAACAACAACAATAACAACAACAGCAATAACAACAACATGTGCAGCACACACTATACCGTACCACATGAGACACACAACGTCTTGATTGGGGGTTCACTTGTTTGTGGTACAGAAGTTAGTTGCTTTGCACCACGCAGTACACACACACAATTGCAACGCAGAAGTTCGTATTTGTTTTAAAAGTATAACATGCAATTTGGAGCGTCCAAAGTGTGACCGGCATCTTAAAGATTCAGTGCAGAACGAGTGGGCGAGCACGTTGATTCTGCAGAGAGAGAGATGTAACGTGGTGGAGAGTGGTGTAGAGTGGTAACCTGCCTGGTGAACACAGACACAGGGATTCTGTAGCTCTCTGGGAGAGTTTGGTTTCGTTTGAGAAAATGTGGTACTATTAAAAATGTATCCCTAAGGGGCTAGCTTATAATGTTAAAACACTGGCCCTTTGCGTAACTGCAAACGCTAGCCATAACTGTATAGTGTACCTTAATCTTATCTTGGTTAGTAAATATCACCCCCGGTAATTCTCACCCTACCCTCTAAAATGTAATATTGTATAACCCAATAAACTAGCCCATAGCACTCACTCGCTGTACAGTCTACGACTAAACAGACTTTAACTCGAATCCAAACCTTCAAACTAGCCCTGAGCATATTGACACGAGACCCTAACACTAACAACTATACCTCGTCATATACAGACTATCATTCCTAACTTTAAATTACGAACACTATCCCGAAGGATAGCCTTGAACATTAGCTATACTGTACCTAACAACACTAAGCAGTAGTTGTATAATCATAACCACTATCCAAAGTACGGGTTAGCAATAAACGCTTATTTCACTTTGGTCACCATCTCTGTCTACAATAAAACTATAATTGAATTATAAACAAAAAAGGCTAGCCATAAACCGAACACTTCATTGCCATAATCGTGAATACTGGAAGAGCCAATGACGCTAACTGCATTATAACTGCAATCACTATCTAATCTTCACTGAAATGTGTTCAAATACGATCCCAAACACTAAACACGAACCCTACTTATAACCCAAAACACGATCCATCCCCAACAATAATCCCAAAACCTATCCCTTACCGTAAACAACAGCCCCTTTATTCTCAAGTGTAACCCAAAACACGAGCCCTAACTTATCCCCAAACACAAACCCGTATTTCCATCTCAACATAATCCTGGACGTGAACCCTTTTCTACTGTCTCTCAACAAGCCTATCCCATAGTCCGAACTATAAACATAAACACGAGCCGCCTTGCACCTATTCACAAACAGCCCCAAGTCATCTTTGCTTCCAAATCTTAAGCGGCGCGTGTTGGGTTTTTGTATTCGGAACAACAACAACAACAAAAGTTGTTAAATTATAGTTTAACACGGTAGGCTTTCGCGACCAATATTATTCCTAATCAACGTTTTTGGGTTTAGATCGCGTTATTTATAAATGTGTCGTAACCCTCCACCACCCGACACGGCCAATCAGCAAAAAAGTGTCACGTTGACAAAAGACAAAATAGTTCACTGCTATACCCCACCGGTGTGTTGAAGCGTGAAACCACAACATTTACAATTTTTGAGTAGTACGACGTTTCGCTGGTAATTGCATCCGGCATCACCGGGCAATAATTATGAATAAATCATAGTTGTTAACGTGACCTTCCCGGGTTATGTTTGATAACTGTGCAGTACATCTTGGTGTATACACGCACGGTCGTTTCTGTGTTTGGCAAGCGGCTCCGCAATGTCGTGCTTGTGTGTGTGTAATATTGTGTAGGGGGGGGGGACACACTCAACGCGTGCATTAGTGGCAGATGTGCTGCCATAAAAAAAGGCGGAGGTCAACAAATAAATGTGCACGCAAGTTCAAAGGGGCAGACGGCATGTGTGATGCCGTCTGGATGGCATCGTCTGCGCACACCGGCCCGTGTTTAAATACCTCTGCCAGTCTGCCACGTAGTACGGAAGTTACCCAGTAGCAACCAGCATCAGCACACGTGTGCGCTTGCTTTCGCGTGATGTTGAGCTGTAGGCTCCCTTTTTTTTTCGTTGTAGATCACACGTTCATGCTTCGCTTCATTCATTTGATTTACCCCCCCTCCTCCTCCTACCTACCCGTTGCTCTTTACAGAATACTTTCCCAAGAGGAATAAGTCGGATGGGAGCCCACCTCATCCCCCTGGGTTGGAGAGTGGTGACCAGTGAGGAGTGGACTCCAGAGTGAGATGTCCCAACTTTCACGGTAACTGCACGTGTGAATGAGGTGTTATCACCTTTCGAAGCTCGCCAAACTTAAATTTCGATTTAAAGCTTTCGTGACTGCAGGGATTCATCTTCTTGGTTCTTTCGGTAAAGTCACGTAGAATGGAAATAATAGAATAATAAAAATAAAACATAATAAATAATTCTCACGACGTTTTGGCCACAATGCAAGCAGCCGTCCTCAGGTGGAGAGCAGGTCTGTCGAGTAGACAGTCTGTCTACGTCGTGAGAATTATTTTATTATTTTATTATTTACATTCTACGTGACTTTACCGAAAGAACCAAGAAGACTCGCCAAACTTGTGACGATTTGTACTTGCACATCAGTGAACCTTTATCATCAGCAGTGTCCATGATCAAGCAGCTGCTGGATGAAGGCCACCACCCCCTAGCCATCAACTCGGTTAAGCCACACGACAATGTAGCATCTGCACATGAGCTCATTTAGTTGATTCGTGTCCGCGAGGGACGTCCATTTCAAGCGTGTTCCCTCCTTTGGCTGCCACTTCGTTGTCACTTGTCAATCCACCAGCCATCAAAAGCCTTCTTGCGACGTGGCCTGTCCCATCTCACTTCTCTTAACTGTAAATAGTGTTTCAAACAATTCTTACGTGAGCTAACGTAAAATTGGTTTCGTCCAAACGAAAACAGAAGAATGATCACTTAGAAGCAGTTTTGTAAAATGGCCTTGTCCTAATTTTACATGCAGAGTTTGATCAAATTGCACTTTAATTCGTATATTTCACATCATAATTTAAAAGGATTTATAGAGTGGCAATTGAGATTTAAATGCTTTCACACGATTATTGTATGCTCTTGCCATGGCAGTTTTTACATGTTTCATTGCTTATGGTACAGGACTTGCCAATGTCCAACTTTTTCGGTCCCGCAATTGGCAGATGCACATATTCCACATTGTTTAGGTCACATCTGTATGAGTGAGTGGGGTAGACTTGGAAAGCAGGACTTTTTGGCAGCATACGAGAACTGCGTGTTTTGAAAAGTTTATTAAACATCCGCCTTGCGTGTACTTGATAGATGTTCATGACACATACAATGATGCAGTTTTGGTATTGCAGTAATCATTTCTGAGTTTTGTTGGGTGCTGATGTAAGGGCATCTATGGGAGAGTAAAGTGAGCTCAGAAAGGTCTGGGAGTTTTTGTATCTGTAGAGGAGTGAGACCAATGGTTTTTAAAGTATTATGGTCTGTGTGTACCTATTATGTTTGTGATTGACTTTAGGGTGAATCCGACTGATGCTCAGGTCATTATTGGGACGTTGTCACCTTCATGTAAATGTCTCTATCAATAACCGCTCAAAGAATACGACCAATTATATTACAATATAAATATATATTGCATGTATAAAACGGCGGCACAAGTGGGGTTAATAAATACACTGCAATATGAACCTAGCGGACCCGATTTTGATTTCTGGCGATAGCTGACATTAATGGCGAGCGATATTTGAACTGGAATGGGCATCCCAGATTTATCACCCCAAACTGACCATTATTGTGAAGTATATCGTCAAACAACTCCCATTGACCAACGTGGTGTATGTAGGGAGACCTTCATGCAGCATTGGATTCACAAGTGCTATCAGTTATATTTGTCTTATTCACATATTAATGTGTGCATATAAAGTCTTAATTCTAAGTTCACTTTGAAAGTATAACTCCTTGTACTATGTGCCATATTGCTCTAGATTTGAGGCTCATAGTGCTTGATTTAAACCATGTAATTTTTGTCAGATAGTTCACTTGGAAAGCTCAAGTAAATAGTGTCGTATAGTCATTTAGAGCTGTGTTTATACAGTTACGCTGTTTCGCTGCAGCTCATTGTGCCAACGCTTTTACTGAATTTGTTGTAAACGCGATGACGTAGTGTTTACCTTGACACTTTTTGGTCTATAATTGATTTTTTTTATAACAATGGCTATTGAGAGCGCATGTACATGGCAAGTGAATTATTGTTGTGTGAGAATGGTATATTATTAATTGTTTTGATTTGTAGTGCGTTACATCCACAAGATAAGCGTGTGGGTGAAAGTGAGTTTTGGGCCATTTACTTAATCAGTAATGTTGACTAATAGTGGACATAGAATTGAGTCTCTTCCGTGAAAAAAAACACTTGTACGATAAACTATTTTTTTATCACGGTTATTGAGTACAGACCCAAAACGCTAAGAAGCATCACTATTTATTGTAAGCGATCAGTGCGTGTCATCTGACGACGTCATTCTCAGCAGAAGGCACATTTTTTAACTGAACACCAGCAAGTTAATAATGTAATCAAAGTTAATAAGTAATTCACCGTATTAAAATTGGAATACCCATTTGAATGACAATAATTTGACTTCTAACCCTTGGATATTGTATGCATTTAAGTCGTGGTATACGTCAGCACTCCTCTTTGTCGTACTGCATATATCAGCTGTTTGTTTTTTGTTCGAACGGCTAAGAGAGAAAGGGCACGCGGTCATCAACTTTAAATCACAGTTTGTGCCTGCCAAGCATTTGTTGCCAGTGCACACGGTCTCGAAAGTTGTTGGTGGGGGGGTTATCTCTTAATTCACTCGGCACTGACACGTCTTGATTGACAAATGATGATGGATTAAGATGCAAAGCAGAGGGAAGTGTGTTGTGTGTTTGCTGGGAGCGGTTGAACAGGATTGAATGGGGGGGGGGGTATTGAGGAAGGGGTAAAGAGAGTAGCAGAGATGAGCGTTGTGGGTTGTGGTGTTGGAGCAAGGTGGTTGATTTACAGTTTATTGGGATGAGTATCAGTAACTTGGATTTGGCCAGAGTGTGGTATATAAAATTGGGTTTAAAAAAATAGCTTTGGGGTTTCATCACAGGCTTGCTCTGTCAAGCAGCACAAGTGATAATATGTATTTGTTTGCTTGCTTAATTCAACTTTTAAAGTGTAAATATAACCAAACGTTACCGGTGCTATTTAAACGTTTACATCTACAATTGTAAATGTACAATGTAAACGCTACAGCACATTTTATGTAATGAAATCAGTTGCAGAGCCTTCTTAATGGGGATAAAAAATATACTGTCGTGCTTAGTATGTCATGTTCTGTGGAGATAGATGATAGCCTGTGAGAAGCAAGCTTTCACACATGAGTCTTTTTTTCTTTGGGTTCATGCATTTACCAAACTCTTTTCGTCCTGAAAGATGTGGGTTTTCAGTGTCCAAGGCTTGTGTCTAGACAAGCTTTGATGATATTTAGCTTAGCCATGCACGTGGCTTTGTGTGTCCTGCACAGTAAGCAGACTCTACAAATGCCCCATCGTGGCATGCGCCAATTTATTCATAATGCAATTTAGTAATATAATGGAAACCGTCCCAATGCACATATCTACGTGATTGATAATTATATAGATGCACAAAGATGAGTTAAATTTAATGACAATGACTGTGATCATCATAAGCTCTACGTTACTGGCACAGTACTCACTACAGGAATACCATGCAACCTATATGGCCTCTTGAGCAAGTTTACATTTTATTGGCAGACTGCAGCTTAAAAGCCCATAATACACCATATCCGGCTAATAACTTAAATGGAAAGCTTATGGAATGCAGCATTGTGCTTACTAGCTGAAAAGGCAACTTTCATTTCTGCACCTGGAAAACATTTGTGTGTAAATAATGCATGTCTGTTTATATGTGGTGTTATATGTTTATGTCCACACATGGGTGTTTATTAGTTGGCCACTGTATGCCATGTGTATGTGTACTGTGTGCATTCGTGCATAAATGTCGTGCAGTGTTTTTGCCATCGAAGCGCATGCACACACATGCTTACGCATGACTAAATGATCATAGCATACGAATATAAAATCCGCAAAATCAGTTTGTATACTTTTAATGCAGAGCCAAGCATAACCATGGCTCGAGTATTGCTTTCCAATTATGTGGTGCACTCTTCCTATATATATAGTTTGATGTTTTACAGATCGTAATCTATTCCATTTAGCACCACCGCGTTGTGCCCATTGAAGTGCATCAAGTACGTTGTATAGTGGATGCCCCACCACACCTTTTGGCAACAATATGGCAATCGGACATCGATTTGGAACTTTTTATTGGCTGAAAGAATATCGGCAGTGGCTTGTAGTTATTTGAGCCGAAGCCATTGCTACAAAACTGGCACACAGCTTTCTATTGCCATAGGTTTTTAGCTTTTGTCCAATTTGTACGGGTGAGTGATGTGTATACATATTGAGTCCTTGCCCTAATTGTAAATTGTTTTCAATTTGCACACAATCACTCGAAGGTTGTCTTTGCCATTGACTTTAAGCTAATGTTTTAGTTTTGCGTAGGTTCACCTATTAAGTAAAACACTCAATAGGACTAAATAGGACTGATTACAAAAATAGGTTGTATTTGAAAGGCTTTTTATTCCATAGGCTTCCACTGGAGAAGTGTCTGTTTAATGTGCACAGCCAGTGTTATTGCTGGGGGTGTAGTCTTTTTTTTAGTGTATTACTATTTTGGGGAATCGTAGAGTGTTCATCGTTATTGCCTGATATACAAATATATTCGTCAGAGTTATTTGCCTGACGTACAGAACTTAACATGTTATGAGATAGTGACTTTAGCTGTACAAGTATTGTACTCTAAAAAATGTGATCAAACCACTTGGGAATAGAAACATTGGTGGCTCGAGATTTGAATCATTTAGATATTTTTCAAATGAATAGTTAATCGTCAAATACCATGCCCTTCTCTTGGGACATTAATGTCACATTTCAGTTAGTACTGAATATCAGTAGTTTGGTGGTGTAATGATGAGTCTTGGTGTGGTTGACTGTATTACACAAGTGGTAATCAAGTTAGAAATTTGACTCAACACTTTTGTATTGCTTACCAACAGTACGATTGCAGAGTAGTGATATGCAAAATGAGGACACACGAAAAGCTGACAAGCTAATATGATGAGCTACAAATGGCTTTTGTCATTCATGTGTGTGTGTGTGTGCATATAAAGTATAATATGTATCAAAAAGCATCTCTGAACACAGACTTCCGTCGTTGTACTTGCTGAGCTTATTTGCATAGTAGATGCAATTCCTGCATACAAAACTTTTTTTTGGTTGCACAAATCCTGCGATTTAGTGGCGATGGAGGCAATCTGAAAAGAAAACATTTGGAGTTTGTTTCCATGCAGAAGTGAGTGGCTCATTTCCTTAGTTCGACAAGTGCTTCAAGATGTATAAGTACCCTGTGCACTTGGGCTAGGCTCGGTCTTTGCAGCCTTTGAGTTTTTTAACCAAGTGGGTTACAGCGGGTCGGCTCTTAACTTAAACCCAGAAAGGTCACTGCTACAAATTGGCGTTGTGTTTGGGTATGAGCTGTGGTGCATTTGGATAGCACCACACCTCCACGTTTACTGAAGTATTTTCCTAAATTTCAAGGTGTAAAAAGTTGCAAGCAATTGGGAGAGTAATTATTCGGTAAAGAAAGCCTTCAGAAAATATTGATATTACTTATACCACGTTTCACATCTTGTCCATTGCAGTATGCAGCAATAGTTTTGTTCTTGCTAAAGCATTTTTTTTAGATATAAAGAACGCGATATGTTTTTCCCTATGGCTTTGGATGTTTTTGGGAAATTGACAATTGCCAATGAATAGTTGTGGTTTTAATGATATATGCAATAAATTGTGTATGTAAACACCTTTGCTAAAAAATATATGCCATTAATTTTTTTTACTTATCTGCACATTTTGTGATTTCAGGTCCCAGGCTTCCACTGCCGAAGAGAGGAGCGCTCAGGACTTGGATGACGATTACGAGCGCCAGCACACTCAGGGCGACAATACAAGACAAATGAAAGACAATTTTTAGCACTGGACAGATGGAAACCTTACATGGGGAAGGCACAGATATATGGGTTGCCTAGCGTCCTCGGCCAATTAAAAGGCTGGTCCATCGACTTACATTACTAATTTAAAACAAAAAACATGGCAAGACTGTGCAATTTTATTTTGGGGTATGCTTTGTGGGATTTGTTTGTGTTCTTTCGAAGTTTAGTGTCATCTTAAGATGTAGCAAAGACAGCTTGAAGACAATGCTTAAGCTATATGATGTTTATTCATTTAAAGTACAGCTCTAAGCCATGGAATAAAATAATTTAAAAGTGATTTCTTTTTTATCAATATAATTTTTTTTATTAAATATTATTTTCATGGTAACATCCAGAAGTCTAAAATAGATATATAAAATTATATAAATACAGCTGAGTTAATGCTGTAATTTGTACAGTTTCTGATGAAGGCCTGTATAATGTTTTGATCCCTTGCACACTTTCATTACTCTGTCTTCATTAAAACATTCTGGAGGATAATTTTAAATTTTCTCAAAATCCAGGTTGTTAAAATTAGCAGTAAACATTAAGGCATGTCTCCTTAAAGGTGATAACTGTAAACTAATTTTTTCACTTGCTTTTATACATTCACTTAATACTTTGTTGTAATGTTTTGGAAGAATAACCCTTTAAACCAAGGTGCACTATTTTTGTTTGTATTTTGACGGTTTATAATAGTATGAGCAGATGTTTTTTTGTTTAATGTTTTTATTTCCTTTTTATTACAAATATCGATGACAAAGATCATGCTTTATTTAAAATCTAAGCAGCTGGAATACCCTTTATCCATGTATATAAATATGTTGTTTAGAAAGTGGCTATTCATGACTAATTTATTTATAAATTATAAGGCGCTTTTTCAGCGTAGTCCTGATTTACAAAAAGGTTGTTGAAAGCCAAAGTGGCAACAAGATATTATTTCTTATTTGCCTTTCATTTTTTTTTAATCCTTTGCGTGCAGGTAGTGTTTGGTAGAGCTTTGCTTTGTTGAATGCTGAGCCAAGCTTGGGAGAATTGTTTTTTTTGTGTGTGTTTTCCTGAGTTTGAGCGAGCTCGTGTGTGTGTTTTTTGTCATTGAAGGTTTTTATTTTTGTAGTTGAAAACAAATTTCTTGTACATGACTGCTTTGGAAAAATTATTTATTTGAATAAACGGCACTGTTACGCATGTAACATATAGGGTTTCTTGTTTTTTTTCCCCCCATCGTCATAATGAGCCGATCTTTTCACCTTTCAGTTATTAGTTTGGAGTTGCACATTGCCTAAAATCAGTGTTTTGTGTGTTATTTATTGTTGGTAAAAAAGCACTAACTTTCCCCTGTATCACGAACACCATCCTACAAGAAATGTTAAAATAAATTATTTTATTATAATCCTGTACAATTTCGACTTACAAAATAATGTCCATCGGAGTACATTCATGACGGTGGCGATGCAGTGACGAGCATCCTGTGCCAAAAACCCAACAACCCGATTTTGATTCTAGGCAATTGGTCATCAGTGGTGAGATGTTTTAACAGGGACCCCCGCTCCCCCCACCGCTGCCCGCTTTTACCAACCCACATTGACCAGCATTACTGGCATAGTGTGGGAATGCTTGCATCCAGCAGTGGATTTACGAGGGCTGTTTATTATGCATAAATACATATTTTGTACAGCACCTGATTACTGCTGTACGTTTCTTCTTAGAGAAGCGTGCAACGTCGTTGTTTTACACTCGTTGCGTGGAAGTTGGCGAATCATCAAATCCTGCTGTTGCCTGTCCATGTGATCTCTACCACAGGTGTCCTGATCCTCTAATCCCATTAGAATGGACGTTAAACCTTCCTGCTGGACAGCTGTCACCATTCTTTCCACACCTACTGAAAATGCCTGGCTTCATTTTCTCAAAGAAAGGCACACACACAGTGGTAATAATTTAAATGGACTCTGCTCTTTGTCAACCCTATTTCAGAAAAGTCAATATTTTAATTCTCAATATTTTCTGGAAAATGTGATGTTCAATACAGAGAACAGCACATTTCATATGTACTATGAAATGTAGGTAAATTGCAAGGCGGACACACTATAAATACACACGAGGTTGTTTTTAACATGAATGTTTATGTCAATTAACAATCGTGGATACGGAAAAATGCAATACGTGTTATAATAAGATGGTGGTGTATTTAGATTTCAAAATGCAAATTTGTGAAAAATACACCACTTATGAAGTGTGAAACGGTACAAAGGTGAACAAATACTGTATGCAAAGATACAAAAGGCAGTGTGCATTACTCTGAATTTGTCGCATGTTGAAGCAGTGTAGTGTGACCACTGCATTAATAGTTTATGCAAACACTTGCCATGACAGTAATGACCTAAATGTGTATGTGACCAACGTATAGTAATAGGCTAGCTGAGCATATCATTTCCACAAGGCTGTTTAACATGGCTATAAAGCTTGGTTAATTTGAGCGGAAAACGTACCGTGTTATTTTTGGGGGTGAAATAGACTGCTAAGGAGAACATTGTTTTATTCATGAAATTACATTTTATGGGAGGTAATTTGAAAACAACTTTCTGGGCAAATCCTTTTTTCAATAAGTGATTCATTAAAACCTCTCCAATATTGCCCCCTTTATTTTTTTAAAATATTCTCCATAACGATGTATTAGAAAGTTTTGCATCGAACCAGGACTCACCCATGCCTGAAAGAGAGGGTCCTTGTCCATAACATCTGACAGTTCAGCATTGGTTCAAGCAAGCCTGACTGTTGATGAGACACTACAAATAAATATTACACGTAGTTAACACCTACAATTTAATAACGCTTAAAATCGCCACATCTATTTAACAGTTTAATCAGAGTTGTCATCACCATAAAGTAGAGATAGGAAGCTGAAGAGTGTTTCTCACCACCATGGAGAAATTACTTTGTTTATTTGGAAAATAAATGTAACAAGAACAGAATATGGAGCTATAACAGCGCAGCGCACATGGACGACCAATGCATCCAGGGGGGCATGGGTAACTGAATTCCATAGAAAACATAAGTATATAACTTTGGAATTACTATACTACACAAATGGGCAATTGTAAGTAGTATTATAATGGCCGGGTATGGCATATTTATCTCCTGGTGAGTACAAGCACGCTTCGCATTTCCTACACAGGATTAGCGTAAAGCTTTACCCAATATTATAATGTGCACAGATTAATTAGCACGTAAAGTGTACAGGTCGGAGTTTGGTTAATAAATGTTAATTTCGGTAGCCTTTCTGGCTTACCCTAAATTCTGGCTTACCCGAGTCTGGCTTCGAGGTGTTTTGGTGTATATTGATTACAGAGTAAAGTAACATTACTCATTCAAAATAATAATTAAGAAATAGCCAAAAAGTACATTGTGGGGGCAAACAGGTCAGAATGTAATTTTTGGGGAAAATATGACCACTTTCATCAATTATTTTTCTTAAATATATTTACATATCCTTCGATAGTACCTTTCTAACAAATGTAAAGCAAATAGGAAAAAAAAATCCTCAAAGTTAAATATATGTTTTTACAATACTGTCCTGTATTTAGTGAATACTGTTAGTATATGGATAATGTCATAATTTTGGGACATTTTCAACCAAAATACCAAAATGATCTCATGTATTTTTGCACACAAAAATAGTTACATGAAAGTCTTAACTGTTTTATGAATAGTAAAAACAGTATTGCATGCACATAGTTGTAACTTTTTGTAACAAAAATATAGTTGGAAATATGGCCATTTTGTATTTTTTTTAATCAGCTAGCATTGTCATGATGATTGCCATTTACAGAATCTGCCACAATGGAAAGAATTCTACCGATGTGCACATTCCTCCAGGTATAAAACCAACTACGGAGCACACCACGATTACAAGCCCTCAACAATAGTCTGACATTTTCATGCCGCATGCTTTAAAGGGTCATTAAAAGCCAGCAGGGATTTGTTTCATCTTGCTTTTACAGACAACAGCTGTCCGGTTATATGCGCAGCATCACGCACGATCATAGACAACTCTGTGCGTGCAGACCCTCAAATGTGAATGCGAATTGGAAGAATGGGGGAAGCTGGTGGTGATGGTGGGATGAGGGGTGCTCCGCGTGTTTGGGTTTTGAAAGCAACGACCAATTTCAGCAGCTGTGGCCTTGCCCAACATCAGCCGTCTCCCGGGCGCATGGAGCCGTTTGGGCTCCACCTGCCCGCCTCCATCAGGAACAACCCGGACGCTCCCAACTGAGACTCCAAAAGTGGCCGCAGCATCACCACCATCAGCTTCAAGCTTCACTTTCTGCTGTTGTGCTGGAATCCCTACCCCGAACTCCCCCCCAACTCCCCCCCTCCAACTCCCCCCAAGATTGTTGTTTTTGTGCGGTAAAGATATAACATTTGTTAAGCATGCCAGAATCTCAAACACACTTATATAGTCAATTATTCAAGGGTATCTAATATAATCAATCGTGTTAAAATTTACTTTGTGGCTTCTGTAACAAAAAAGTATGTATGAAGGGCAGGCTACATGCCTCTTTGGGCAAGCAATATGTAAATATGACTCAGCGATTATGCCCCTGTCTGAGATATTTAACAGGTCACACTAGTAAAGATATGGTGCTTCTAAAAGGTTAATAACACACTCGGTGTGGCGATGTTGGGGTTGAGTAAAGTTGGCAAATTCGGTGCTTTTAACATCCCATGATTTTCACCACCTCTAGAATGCGAAATCACTACTTTTTAAAAACATCTTTTAAAAAAGTTAACATTTTGCCAACGACCAAAAAAGTGATATTCCGACGTGAAGGCAACAAAATAACATTCAGCCTGTGATTAAAACCGGCTATCCTGCTCCTCCCCATTTAATTTAAACAAGCCTCAGCCGTGGTGGCGCACACCACAATGGCATTAAATGGGTTGGTTAATCGAGAGTCATCGTCAGCCCGTACGGATCGACGACGGATCGGTCATGAGGCCCCGTGCAGGCAGACAGGTGGCTGATCGAGTTACCCCCGGCCAGCACGCGTTTAAAACAACAATTACAGCTGCCGGGTAGAGACCGCAGAATGGAAGGCAAGCCCCCCCCCCTCCCCGATCACTTTGGACGTCGCATTTAGACCCAGGCTGCGCCAAAAAAACAAAGCGCGCCTCTCACACGAGGGCCGACGCGAGCAGCTGCTTGACCGAGAATCAGGTGCGACAACAGGAAGAATCGTTCACAGCGCAGGGGCAGAGAGAGAGAGAGAGGAGGAGGGGCACAGGATCGTACGCCGAGAAGTTAGCACGCGCCACCCCACACAAACACCCCCAAGCTTTTTGACTTAAAACTTTCGTGACTGCAGGAATTCATATGCTATGGTTCTTTCGGTAAAGTCACGTAGATAGAAAATGTAATAAAATATCAGGTGATGACGCCCGCTTGTGTTGCGATCGAAACGTCGTGAGTTTTTTGTTTTTAAAAATATTTTTTTTGTATTACTAGCGGTAAGTACCCGGCGTTGCTCGGGCGAAAAAGACAGACACACACATGGACTTACACACAGACATTGACCCACACGTAGAAACAAAACGACTTAGACACACACACATATGGTGAAACCCAGGATGGATCGTTAGCAGGCCAGCCTAAATGTTTCTAACCGATGAAGATGTTCCATTAGGGGGGTGCATGTTTTGCAAGCGTAGAGAAAGGAGGGAATGACCGTGGCCGAGAAGACCTGAAGCTTCGTGCGGAGCGACAGACCAGGTAGCTTCCACACAGCGTAACGCAGTCGATGAAAAGATATGGCGCTCGACTGATTTGGAGTGAAACCTCTGCTGTTAAACCGGAGCCGGTTATGAGCACACTGGTCAGGTATGGGAATCTCTCCAATCTCTCCACAACTACCGCATCAGCAATTGTGAGTTGTGGGGGTGAATTGTCCGATGGTACAAAATACCCAGGCAGGTGCTTAGTTTTGGTGGGGCTGATGGTAAGGTCCCACCTCTTAGTGGCAAGCTCCAAGTTCAGCAGCAGTACCTCCAACTCCTCTTCTGAGTGAGCAGCAATGAGCAGAGAATCGGCATAGCTAACATGGTTGAGCATTAGGTAGCCATCCCTTGACCGCACCCGGGCATCGATCAGCCTCCCATTGTTTCTGTACCAAATGGTAATTTCTCAGGTACAGCC